TCCTAACTGTCCAGTTGATACCGTGCTTCCCTCCAGATGTCCAGATGACGTCTTCATAATCCAGTCGATCACCAGGAGAAAGAGTAAGGGTGAGAGTAAGCAACCTTGCCTCACACCGGTCTTCACCTCGAAAGAGTCAGTGAGCTGACATCCGTGCACGATTTTGTAGTTTAATCTATCATAAGAATTCCGTATGATGTTGACTATCATCTCAGGAACGCCACAGATTCGAAGAAGCCCCACCTCTATATTGTTTTCTTGCCCACGCTGTCGAATGGTTTCTCGTAGTCAATGAAGTTGATGTAGAGTGGTGAGTTCCATTCAATTGATTGTTCCACAATGATTCGTAATGTTGCAATTTGGTCGGTACATGATCGATCCTTACGAAATCCGGCCTGTTGGTCTCGAAGTTGGGTGTCTATGAAGTCCTTCATTCTGTTTAGCAATACTCTGTTGAAGACTGCTTGATATTGAGAGAAGCGTGATGCCGCAGTAGTTGTCACACTTGATGAGATCGCCTTTCTTTAGTATTTTGACGAGGTATCCTCCTTTCTAATCTGATGGTACTTCGTCCTCATCCCAAATCTCGTTGAAGAGAATGTGAAGTATTTTCGCAGTTGCTTCTACATCTGCTTTCATTGCCTCCGCTGGAATGTTGTCTGGTCCTGCTGCTTTGTCACTCTTGATTTGTCTGATGGCCATACTGATCTCTTCAATAGTAGGTGCGCCAACATCGATTCGGAGGTCCGTGTATGCTGCTTTTATGTTGGGTGTGTTCAGTGGAGCTAGTCGATTCAAGAGTTCCTTAAATTGCTCTACCCACCTATTTCGCTGTTCTTCAGTGTTGCTGATTACTTTGCTTTCCTTGACTTTCAATGGTCTTTCTGGTTTACAATAGTTTTCAGAGAGCTTTTTTGTTGTATCGTACAGTTGTCTCAAGTTTCCTTCTCTTGCATCCTTTTCTGTCGTCATTGCTAGGTCTTCAAAACATTTTCTTTTCTAGACTCTGGTGCTCCATTTCACTTTCTTGTTTGCCTCTGTGTATTCAGATTGTGTCTTAACTTTCTCTGCTCTTGTTCGGCTGACATTGATTGCTGCCTTCTTGTTCCTCCTTTCTTCAATTTTATCAAGAGTAACAACAGAGATCCATATCTTGTGATTGTGCTTCTTGTAACCTAGGACCTCCTGACATGTTGAAGTGATTGCCTCCTTGATTCCTTTCAAATTGTTCTCCAATGTTGTGTCCTCTCCATTGAGTAGATCATGCAAGGCCTGAAACCGATTGCTGGTGGGCTATTTTTAATTCGTTGAGTTTTACGGTATCCCGAAGAAAGACTGTATTAAACTTGTGTGATGTTTTGTGCCACGTTGTTCAGTGTTTCTTGAGTTTCAATTTCATTTTGGCGACCAGCAAGTGGTGATTTCAGGCTACATTAACTCTTCTCTTGGTTCTCACATCCTGCAAGGTCTTTCTGAACTTTTTATTGATACAGATGTGATCTATTTGGTTCTGAGTATTGTGATCGGATGAAATCCATGTAGATTTGTGTATGCGTTTGTGTGGGAATATTGTGCCACTGATGACCAGTTTGTTGAAGTCACAGTGGTTTCCGAATCTGTCTCCTGTTTCGCTCCCTTCTCGTAGTTCTTGTCCTACCATGATGTCTTCATATCCAGTGTTGTCCATGCAAACCTTCGCATTGAAATCTCCCGTCAGAATGGTCAAATCTTCTGATGAGCATCTCTCGAATATTGAAGGATGATTTGATGATGCTGGATCCATGAGATTCCCATCCTATTAGCAGTGCGTTTTATGCTCATTCGGACAGCACCAGTGAAATTCGTTGTATGTGTGAGGCATTTTATGCTTGGAACATCTGGACATCTAAATATTTTATGAATTTAAAAATCCTCCAAAGTAGATCAGAAATTGTAATCTTCAAACCTGACAAACAGTCGTGGTGTAGTTCTTATGAATAAGTGTAACCAAAAACAAAAATTTTTTCCCATTGTTAGTAACGAGATGAAGTTTATGGCAGATCTTTCATCTCATAATGATGTTAGAAAGTTGGAACTTAAGGCTCCAGTGTAATATAGCTCATTGAAATGAATGTTATAAGCCAGGAAGAATTCAATGCAGAACATCTAATGATGAGTGGTCATCAAATTGACCCAAAATCAACCTTTAAAGTTGTGACATGTAATCAAAACCCACACACACAGAAACTACTCGAAGCCATCTTGATTGGTCGGAAAAGTCCAACTTTATGTGTTCAAAAACAACTGTATGTTTTAGGGCACAGTTTTTGGAGGTTTGCGTTTTTACACATTCGAAATTATTAATCAATCATCATTGTTAGACCACCATTAGAATCCTGGAAGCACTGGACGGCCGTTTCGTCCTAGTATAAGACTCCTCAGCAGTGCGCATCCACGACTCCTGCTCCTCGCAGGATTCGAACCCGGGACCTTTGGCATTGTAGGCGAACGCCTTACCATCGGACCACTGGGCCGGCATACAACGGTGTTAATGTCTAACTCAGATTGATCTAGGGATTTTGCGCGACCTCACCCATTTGTCTTTGGTAGTTACTGCCTACACCCGACAGGGTTGAACTCCACTAGTCACGTCTTCTCGACTAGAACTCCGAGAATTTCCTCACGAAGCTAGTCACTAGTGAGCACTGTTACGATATATTGGGGCACAGTTTTTGGAGGTTTGCGTTTTTACACATTTGAAATCATTAATCAATCATCATTGTTAGACCACCATTAGAAACCTGGAAGCACTGGACGGCCGTTTCGTCCTAGTATGAGACTCCTCAGCAGTGCGCATCCACGACTCCTGCTCCTCGCAGGATTCGAACGCCTTACCATCGGACCACTGGACCGGCATCCAACGGTATGTTTACCTTTGTTTACCATGGTTCTAGTGAGTGAATGTCATGCTAAATAAGAAATTTTGAGCTTATCTTCAAAACTGTATTTACACAAATAATATGTTGCTTGTATGTGACTGACGAGAAAGCACGAAATGGTACTATCTCACAAAATATGTCTTCTTATTTCTCTATTCAAATTTATCAAAGGGAATCACTGTTTAGAATTCAATATGTTAAAATCCACCGGTTCAGAACTCTCGAATTTATATGAATTATCTAAACTTCATAAACCTAATAATCCATTACGACCAATATTATTTATGTACGATCCACCTACACATGACGTAGCGAAATGATTAGCGAAATTACTCAACAGAATCCGTAATAAATTGTTTACGTTTTTCTTAAAAGACAAATTTGAACTAACTGGTGTTCTTGATGGTATTAATATTAAAGTCTATGCGTTCTTTTTATGTAAACTTTCTCTTTACTAATCAATGTGGTTAATTTTCCTTGTTGACTATATCATGAGTAATTTCTCTTTTATTATGTAATGAAAAATTTCATTTCACGTTTCAAGATGAACATTCTCGACAAGTTAGTGATGTTGTTATTGGCTAGTCCTTTGGAGCTTCTCATAGCTGATGTATGTATGAGTGAGCTCATTAGTGAGGTAGGTGACTATGTACAGGACATGTACATGGATGATATATTGGTCATATGTGATAAAAATTTCGATGTTACTCAGTTGCTATATAAACTCAATTGTATACAGAATGATATCGATATACCTATGAGTCGAAGGGTGGAGAAACTATATAGCGGTCAGTTTATAGGACGCCTACCTGGACTGGACAATATTTAAATTTTCTCTGTTTATGTCCGTTGCAACACAAGCGAGACTTGGTTAGAAATGCCTTTTCAATAGGATTGAAAGAGTATAGACTACAGATATTATATTCTTTCCATACTATGTTAATTTTGTCTCTCCTTTATCTATAATTATCACCTTCAGTTTATTCGAACTCTTATTGATTTAACCTTTAATGATTTTCATATGAAATGTCTTGATAAGTAAATGTATGGTCAGATTGTTGGAATAACACAGTGTAAATAAATCCCATTTTTCAGATCAACTCTGTCTCCACATTGTTCTATCAAAATGTAAAACGGGAACTAATTGCTCTAAATTTCACGACACATACATTATTAGATTTAAAGTGTAAATCTTTTCTTGTCGATTTCTAGGAAGTGATTGATTGCTTGTTGAACTATTCATACCTTCATCTTGCCATTTTACGCCTACTTTTTACTACCGGGTAAAAGTGTTTTGATTTTTTCAATTATAAGTACAAATGTTATAGATTTTTCTAGTCCCACTTAATGCTTGGTATCATCTCACTGCTGATTGATATGAAGATGTATTTTACTAGTTTTTTGAGGTAATCTAAAATCTCTGGCTCCTAGTCCAATCTCTCTAGCTTGCAATCTGTCTCAGTTATTAAACTCAGCTTTAAACCACATATGTGAAAACATTTTTCGTTATATATTGATTTAACGAATGAATTACCATAATAGATTGACTAAGTCTCAGTTTATGTATTCGATTTTCAGCTGTATTTTATGTTTGGGGCTATTATATTAACTAGCCACCTAAATTGAAATAGATAGACTGAACTGGTAGGATACTGATTGAGAGTATAGTGCTTTAGTCACTAAACCGCTGATCTTCATTGTAGACATTCATTTAAACATAAATTAAGAGTCAAACATATTCAATGGTTTTACATTACGAATTTTAGTTATAAACACGAGAATTCTATTTTATTTTGGATAATGTGAATGCGTTAATCAGTTTTCCATATCTACTACTATCAGGTATATTGTTCAGTTAATTTTGTCACTATATAATGTGAAAATAATATGCAAATTCGAATTCTAGAACAACTCACAAAGTCACATACCAGACGAATGTACGGGTAGAAATGAAACTCATAGCTTACATAACTGACTTGTAATCCCATATGAGGTCAGTTAAGAATCATTGATTTACAAAAATATCATAATGGATGTCACCTTAATACTGCAATATACTCTTTACATTTTAGAAATTGAAATATGGAACAAGGTTTGCGATTATGTTGGAATTTACTTCCTACATTATTGACATGGATAATAAATTATATAATTCGCCTAATTCTGCTACCAATGATTTTGATATTTCTTCTTGGTCGTGCTGTGAGATACTTCAACAAAAGGTCCAAACTGCGTAGTAAATTATTACGTAAAAGAGAATTAATAACTAAACGAATGGATCATTTGAAAGAACATCTTTCAACCACGAAAAATACATCAACTGTTGATTTGCTATCAATTACAGATCTAAATTTAGATACTATTCAAGAATGCTTGATTGAAGGCAAATTTACACCAGTTGACTTGTTGCATGCTTATCAAATGAAAGCCTTACAGTTATACGACTCAGGAAATTCAGGAATATGTGAATTTGTGGATGAAGCAGAGCAGTTAGCTGTTGAACTTGTTAAATCGAATCGTTTGCCTACAAATAAACAAACTTTGGTTGGTATTCCTGTTAGTCTAAAGGAACTGATTCCGGTCAAGGGATATGATGTAACATATGGTTTGATGAAACGATGTGATATACCTTCAGATGAAGACTGTTGCATAGTGAAAGTACTTAGACATGAAGGAGCAATACCTTTTGCTCTGACAGCAACTTCACAAACAGCTCTATCTATGAGTGGAATAAATCCAGTGTTTGGTGATATGTCCAATCCTCATTCACAAGAACACGAACCAGGCGGGAGTTCTAGCGGTGAAGGTGTACTTGTAGGACTAAATGGATCACCAATTGGAATCGGGACAGACTTAGCTGGAAGCATACGAATCCCTTCGGCGTTCTGTGGTCTTGCTGGCTTGAAACCAACAACTAATCGTATAAGCAGCAAAGGTTTGGCGAAGATCGGTCATAAAAAATCACTGGTATTAAGAATATGTCCTGGACCAATGGGTAGACGAGTGGATGATCTAGCCAAATTAATGCGTACACTTCTAACAACAAAAATGTTTCAGATGGACCCATCTGTGCCACCATTACTGTTTAATGATATAATCTACGAGGGTGTAGATAAGCCAAAACTGAAGATCGGATATTATGTAAATCTGGAGGATCCATTAATTATGACTAGCGTTCCATGTGTTCGCAGAATAGTGAATGAGTCGGTGGACATTTTAAGACAACGTGGTCATATACTGCTACCGTTTCAGCCACCTAATATAAAATGGGCTTATGCATTAAGTATGAAAGCAATTTCTGTTGATACAAAATATTATTTTCAAAAGGCCTCGTTTGCAGAACCAATAAATGAACACACTAAATTTCTTAATCTTCTGATCGGTACCCCACACTGGGTGAAAGTTCTTCTAGACAAACTAATGGAAATCATCTTTGATAAACCAGCCGCAGGTGCAAGTTTTTTCGATGGTCCTAGAGGCGAAGCAGAAACATTAAATTTAATCTCCGATATCGAATTGTATCGACATGAATTTCAGAGAGCTATGGAAGAAGCTGGTAATTTAGATGCGATCATTTGTCCAGTTTTCCCTTTTCCAGCATTTCCAAAATCAGCTAAATCTCTATTTGTTTCACCAGCTATTGCTTACACAGTTTTGTTTAATATGTTAGATTATCCAGCTGGAACGGTTCCAATGGGATATGTTAATAAGGTAGATGTGGAAAACTCAAAAGTGATGGCTGAAGAATACAAGAAAGCTGGAAATCGATATCTCAATCAGGTATTTAAGTATCAGGAAACAAGTGAGGGCTTGCCAATCGGTGTACAAGTTATTGGTAAACCATGGCAAGAGGAGCGTGTACTGCATATTATGAAAGAATTAGAGACATCAAGAACACTAACTGAATAGTTGTAACTAATATTTTTAACCCACTTTCTTCCATAACATTTCATTGAATTTCTTCAAAACTAAACATTTCAATTGCATCTCTCTGATAAATGACTGTTTCAATTGTTTTACTGTTTATGTATGATATTCAATCCAGTGATTTTGAAATGCATATTTTCTTGACCCTAATAATTGTGTATCGTTTGCATGAAATTGTCATTTTATTGATTCCCACTGAAACTAAATCCTCATATAAGCATAGATTTTATACTGATGTTTGTTGTCTCGATTAATCATATTTTTTGAGCGTTAGATATCTTACACAATATTCTAAGACCGTAGTAGATCATTTTTAAGAAAACAAGAATGTATGAAGTCATAAAATAATAAGTTCTCATTTATTGATAGCCGGAATTTGTGTCTTGGAATTTCGTTACACACATTATTAACCAACATAAAACAGTTTATTTACAATTTTGATTTTGTTTAAATGATAGTTATTGTCAGTAGTTGCCACGATGAAAATTGTACTGTGTATTTTTCAATACACTAGCATAACTTTAACCAGTAGTTGTCCTTGAACTTCAATTGTATCTCTCTCAATATCTTATTATTTATCACAATGCTTGTGTCACATCTTGCTTTCCATTGTTCATAACATTCCTGGAATTTCTTCAAAACTAAACATTTCAGTTGCATCTCTCTGATTCTCATTTATTGATATCCGGAATTTGTGTCTTGGAATTCCGTTACGCACATTTATTTTTAATATCTGTCATTCACAGATGCTGGAGATGATAGGTCTCGAAAATCGCTTGGTAGACCTCTTAATTTTGTAATTTATTTTTGCCTCAAAACAACTCTCAATTACCTTCAGTTCGTATTTCTTACCAGGAAAGACCTTACACTACACTGGTTAGTTCTCTCTCTTAGTGTGATATTGTGTAAGTCTTCTTAGAAGACATTTTGTAATGCATAAATGACGCTTCAGTAAAACGCTTATTGTTCGCTCGTGGCTGCTTGTGGATTATATAAGGTTACCACTGACTTGGGATTCTTGCTCTAGTTCGTTGGGCTGGATCACAGAGAAGAGATAAGCTTGCTTGTTGTTGCATCACTGGTTTACGTTCCGTTCGCCAATATCTAGTCATATCTTAATTATCGTCAGCATAGCAACAAGAGATTTGCACGCAATATTTAAAGCCTGATTGTACTTGTCCCGAATTTCAATGAATGTCAATGATGGTTGTATTTTCATTAATCCATGCAAGTTGTAGACAAGGAATTGAGACGTCATGTGCGATATTTGAATACTGACATAAGCCTGCGCGATGATGATTCAAGGAAATATTTAAAATGTGTGAAGATAGAGATGGTTTGAAATATCGGGTGTTCTGGTTGGATCTATTTTGAACACTGTGATTATATGTTTACTCATCGAATAATGTGTAATGGAAACTAAACAGTTACCTAACTGCATGTTTGCAAGAATGATTAAAAAGCAACCTTTGTCGACTCAAGAATAATGAGTTGTTACATAATTTGTAACATGAAAGATGAACAAATAACCTTCACGGCGGTATTGCAGTTAAAACAAGCTGATTTGAATCGCATTTTATTTCACATGGATTTAAATATCTTTTTGCTCATTTTGATATTTCATATGCATGTAAACGGCATATAGATATTCCCTGTCTGAATGGATGATTGTGACTATAGATTTTTTATACTATGTGTATTATGTATGAAGTCCAGAATCATTTTCCAACAAGGCATTCATCTTGAGGAATTTTAAAAGGAAGACTATTTTCTTTTTGAGTTTTCTACTACTATTTGAGTTAGCTTTCATCAGCAGGAAAGGATGAAATATGTTTTCTACAACTCTTTTCTTCATAACAGTGATACTTATGCCTTAATCATATATGAGGATACTAAAAATAATCCGAAGACTGAACACTTATGTATCTTCACTGTGAACTATAGTTGATGATTTTGGCAAGTTTGCTTATGGCTCTTGAAAATATCGGATTGCAGATTCTATCATTGGCTAGATTAATAATTCGTTTTATTATTATTATCTTTATACAGTTACTAATAGATGTTCAAAATAATCAAAAAAAATAGATTTATGGGCGACAACTAATCAAAAATTAAGTCAGCTACAGTTATGGTAAGGAATTCGATGCCCTTGAGAAAATTATAGTATTTATATAGATGTAAGGCGCTAACTGAAAATCGCATAGATTATTGTGATGAGAAACGCTTTTGTCAATTTCAAGTAACAAGATTAGGTTGCTGAAGTTTGATTAAATGAATAATTATCATCATTAATGTCAACAGTTTACATAAAATGATTTGTTCGTTGAAATGTTTTTTTATTCTCAAATTGAAATCAAAAAGGGTGGACTGAGACAATTCAAGAAGATTAGAGATTTATGCCTATTTATGTTGTAAGTAGTTCACATTTTAATAAAACGGATCATTTTGAATAGAGGAATTGTGAACTCCAGGCCCAGTTAGTCAACAAATGGCAACTTATGGACGACCTTGTCTGACCTATCAGCTAATCAGGACACTCTCCTGGATATGAGACGAGTAACAGCACAAAGTAATAAAATAACAGTGGGATAATAGATTTGATATGAATAATGTACCTTCATATGCCGAATTTTCATTACGAAACGATATAAGCTGTGATGCTACGCTTTGTCACCCTTCATCCAACAAACTTAAGACGCTTATAACTGAAGTTTAGAGAATAGGTTATAAGAAGAGCTATCTTCACAGCAAATTACATCAAAACATAGTCTACAACCTACCTTGGTTGGGAGTGAATTTTAAATTTTAGTGTAGGCACAATTTAAAAGTAACCTTTTAATTGCATAGTAGAAATTACCTCGCTAACACTAAAATATAAGCTTTCTCTAAATCAGCTTTAAATTCTGCGTAAAGTACATGAGGTCTTATATGAATTTTAATTGATCAACTGAAGGTCGTTCGTATGTTTTATACTGTTACCCTGTTTATTCATTGAATGAAACACAGATGTGTATCGATTTCCCAGCCTTAAATAAAGCAATCATTTGCGAGAAAATAAGAAATGTACAATTAGATACACAGAGATATGATAAAACTATGAACATACTCCATAGTACAATAAAGAGTAAAAGTAAAGAAAAAGATATGTGATAAAGTGTGAAAATAGCAATAGCAATACAGCCCTAACCAATACTTCATAACTAAATCTATGCGAAGTTCCAGGAAATAATTCTGTGATATGCCTTTACTGATCGTTAATAGGTCTACTGTTTGTAACAGTTCAAACATTACTTACTTACTTACTTTCGCCTTTTACCCCAAATGGAGCATAGGCCGCCCACCAGTTTTCTCCAACCAACTCTGTCCTGGGCTTCTTCCTCCAGTTCTGTCCAATGTTTGTTCATTTCTCTCATATCTTTCTCTATTTCTCGGCGTAATGTATTCTTTGGCCTTCCGCTTTTCCTTTTACCTTGAGGGTTCCATGTGAGGGCTTGTCTCGTGACGCAGTTAGGTGCTTTTCGTAGAGTGTGTCCTATCCACTTCCACCGCTTCTTCCTGATTTCCTCTTCCACTGGAATCTGACTTGTTCTCTCTCACAGTTCGTTGTTGCTGATGGTGTCTGGCCAACGAATACGAAGTATTTTACGTAGACAGCTGTTAATAAACACTTGTATCCTCTGGATGATGGCTTTCGTAGTTCTCCATGTTTCCGCTCCATACATTAGAACTGTCTTGACATTTGTATTGAAAATCCTGATTTTGGTTTTGATTGAAAGTTGTTTGGAGTTCCAGATATTTTTCATTCGTAGAAATGCAGCCCTTGCTTTGCCAATCCGTGCCCTCACATCTGCATCGGATCCACCTTGATTGTCGATGATGCTGCCAGAAAATGTAAAGGTGTTAACATGCTCCATGGCATCTCCATCAAGAGTGATTTGGCTGGTGCATGTTGTGTTGCATCGGAGAATTTTGCTCTTTCCTTTATGTATGTTGAGACCTACTGCTGCAGAGGCTGCTGCTACACTGGTCGTCTTCTCTTGCATTTGTTGTTGAGTGTGCGATAGAAGAGCCAGGTCATCTGCGAAGTCCAGATCGTCCAGCTGCGTCCTAACTGTCCAGTTGATACCGTGCTTCCCTCCAGATGTCCAGATGACGTTTTCATAATCCAGTCGATCACCAGGAGAAAGAGTAAGGGTGAGAGTAAGCAACCTTGCCTGACACCGGTCTTTACCTCGAAAGAGTCGGTTAGCTGTCCTCCGTGCACGATTTTGCAGTTGAATCCATCATAAGAGTTCCGTATGATGTTAACTATCTTCTCAGGCACCCCGTAGTGTCGAAGAAGAGTCCACAGTGTTTTCCTGTCCACGCTATCGAATGCTTTCTCGTAGTCGATGAAGTTGATGTAGAGTGGTGAGTTCCATTCAATTGATTGTTCCACAATGATCCGTAATGTAGCAATTTGGTCAGTACACGATCGATCCTTACGAAATCCGGCCTGTTGATCTCGAAGTTGGGCGTCTACGAAGTCCTTCATTCTGTTTAGCAATACTCTGTTGAAGACTGCTTGATATTGAAAGAAGAGTGATGCCTCTGTAGTTCTCACACTTGCTGAGATCGCCTTTCTTTGGTATTTTGATCAGGTATCCTTCCTTCCAGTCTGATGGTACTTGTTCCTCATCCCAAATCTTCTTGAAGAGGATGTGAAATATTTTCGCGGTTGCTTCTACATCTGCTTTCATTGCCTCTGCTGGAATGTTGTCTGGTCCTGCTGCTTTGCCGTTCTTGATTTGTCTGATGGCCATACTGATCTCCTCAATCGTAGGTGCGCCAATATTAATTGGGAGGTCCGTGGATGCTGCTTCGATGTTGGGTGTGTTTAGAGGAGCTGGTCGATTCAATAGTTCCTTAAAGTGCTCTACCCACCTATTTCGCTGTTCTTCAGTGTTGCTGATTACTTTGCCTTCCTTGCTTTTCACTGGTCG